TTTATTACAGAATCCAAGAATGTTCTTGAATAATAATGTTCTGTAAAAGATTTGTAGTCATATAAATTTTCGTTTTAATTTTAAATTATTTTGGTTATACAACATTTTTTTTACTTTAAGCATTATTATAGTTGCCTCTTAGGAGTTCGGCCAGGCGGTGAGGGACAGGATCCGGACGGAAATGCCAGGCTGTAATTTTTAATTAATTTAAAATACATGATCTCCACCTCAAATAAGTAGTGGCTTACCCTCTACATCATACTTTTAATTTAACAAGAGAGTCGTGCTGGTCATCTAACAAACACCTTTCGGGAAAAATTTCTGAACTGAAATAACGTGACTTCCAGTTTGCATCGGAAGTTCGTATATAGTGAATTAGGGCCTCCTGCCCCTAATGTTTCTAACTCCGTTCTCGAGATTAAGGAAAGACGGATGGACGGACGACAGTTGGAATTTATAGGTCTACAATTTTTTCAAATTTCAGTCCAATAATTTCTTTCAATATATTATCACCACCGTAATATGAATATATAAAATTATATACAGTAGAGCGTCGTTTATCCGAATCAATTGGGGACTGGGGTGGTTCGGATAACTTATTTTTCGGATAACGAATCATGTACGAAAAATATATTAATTTATCGCATGTTGAAATTTCTCTCCGTTGCATGTCGCTTCGCGTCGAATTTTCGTCGATGTTAAGCCTAACGAAGACTATTGTATCGTTAAAAATTATTTTTTTATTTTGTACAAACAAAATAAATATATTGAAAAATATTATAACCTTGAAATTACAGCTAAATTCTTTTTCGTCTTACAGGTAATAAGAATAAGCTGTGTTTTTTTTATGATTAAAAAAAATAATAATAATAATAATAATAAATTTACCTTTATAAAATATTGAGTAAAAAAATTATGTAGTTGCTGACATTCTTTCAAGTGAAAGGAATGGTTTAAAGTTACTTTTTTTTAAATACTGACATATAGAATCGCATGTATTATTTTTCATGTGGAAACTNTGTTTCAAACTAATTTAATAGAAATATTTGAATGTTTACGGATCGCTATTCTTTCTATTAAATGAGAAGTTTGACATATTAATATAGAATATTATTTAGGCTAGCATAAGTAAGTCAAATTTCTCATACCCGAGTCACTTAACAATGCATAATGCTACCATCATTATCGTTATTATTATAGAATCCACGCAAATGGTATTTATGTCGTGACAAATTTCGAGATGTCCTTCTCACGAATACAATAGGAAGGTTAGTTTTTTTGCACTGTTTTGACCTAGAAGAAGCATTCATGTATTATTCATTCGTTGACCAAATGCCAGTTTAAAGAGTCGACTTTTTTTATGTTAATTAATGCAGTTGATACTGTTATCGTTACATATTATATGGTAGTTTATATAAATACCAGTGTATATAGTGAGGAGGTTCTGTGATTTTTCTTTGATAGATGGTGAAAATAATAATAGTAAAGTTCAAAGAATATAATAAAGTATTATATTCTTTGAACTTTACTATTATCATATGGTAGTTGGTAGGATAGCCTTCTATTAACATTGTTATAATTAAAATTGACGGAAATAATAGATACTTTCGTCGAATCATCGTGTTTGCTTACCGTAAACAGGAAGTGACTTATCGCTGAACTTCACGCGATCACAGTATGTTGCTAAATCGTGTGAATCGAAACATCGAAAAATTATTATTTTATTCTATTTTCCGGGCCAAAAGGTAACCCCAAAAAATTCATGGGTTATCAAACGTAGATTTTGTTTTTTAGAAGATGTTAGTGGAGGAGGTTCGTAGTGTTCGCAGAATAATAGGAATTCTGTACTTTAAAAAAATGCCGAATAAAGTGCTTTAAAATCTGGAAAATAGACTAAATTTTGCTACTTATATTGCCAATTTCGCAGTAAATTGTATAGATTATAGTCTAGATTTAATTAAAGGAAAAGACACTTCTCAGAAGCAGCTGGCTCAAATTATAACCATTGTACTTTGAGCTCTAATCTTTTCGAAAGAATATTGGACCGTGGGATAAAGCATAAAATTTGCAGATAATTTACATATAAATTTATGCCCTCCGAGGAATTTTTAACTATTGCTATTTATTTCCGCTACATTAATCCGTGAATTATGTGGGGTCAAAGTTAGTAGTCGTTATTCGTTCGTAAAATAAATTATTCATTAATTAAAACCTTGACAAACACGTTCTCTCTCTCTAAACAAAACAAACTCGAACAATTAAAATAATAGAAATGATTACATTTAAAATTAGTCCAACACAAAGGTGTACTCATGTGTTACTATATAACGGGTGTGTACTTTGCGTCAGTCTGACGTCATTTCTATAGTTTATTGTAAATGCCGAGTGACGTAAATCGATATAAAACACGGTCTTGTGTAAAAATGAGCGTATTGTCCAATCAAACGAATAAACGTTACATTGATGAAATAAATCATCTAGTATATATTATTATTATCTTAAAAGTTCTTTATATTCAGTTTTATATATGATCTAGATTGGTATAAACTTCAATAATTTATTTTCAGGTCTCTCCGGTCTTGGAGTTGCAAGATTCTCAGATCTGTGGCCATTTAACAGATAATTGATACGATAAAAATTATAAATGTAATATGTATTAACATTTATAGGAATATAATAATAATATAACTTGTTTTTGTTGAGTGTAACGAGCACCTTCACTTTTATTACAGAATCCAAGAATGTTCTTGAATAATAATGTTCTGTAAAAGATTTGTAGTCATATAAATTTTCGTTTTAATTTTAAATTATTTTGGTTATACAACATTTTTTTTACTTTAAGCATTATTATAGTTGCCTCTTAGGAGTTCGGCCAGGCGGTGAGGGACAGGATCCGGACGGAAATGCCAGGCTGTAATTTTTAATTAATTTAAAATACATGATCTCCACCTCAAATAAGTAGTGGCTTACCCTCTACATCATACTTTTAATTTAACAAGAGAGTCGTGCTGGTCATCTAACAAACACCTTTCGGGAAAAATTTCTGAACTGAAATAACGTGACTTCCAGTTTGCATCGGAAGTTCGTATATAGTGAATTAGGGCCTCCTGCCCCTAATGTTTCTAACTCCGTTCTCGAGATTAAGGAAAGACGGATGGACGGACGACAGTTGGAATTTATAGGTCTACAATTTTTTCAAATTTCAGTCCAATAATTTCTTTCAATATATTATCACCACCGTAATATGAATATATAAAATTATATACAGTAGAGCGTCGTTTATCCGAATCAATTGGGGACTGGGGTGGTTCGGATAACTTATTTTTCGGATAACGAATCATGTACGAAAAATATATTAATTTATCGCATGTTGAAATTTCTCTCCGTTGCATGTCGCTTCGCGTCGAATTTTCGTCGATGTTAAGCCTAACGAAGACTATTGTATCGTTAAAAATTATTTTTTTATTTTGTACAAACAAAATAAATATATTGAAAAATATAAAAACAATAAAAAAATATACTTCAGATGTTAATTTAGTATCAAAAACGTAAAATATTTGAGTAGCCCGAGAAATAGCCGAAGATTGCAACGCCACAGGACTAGCGAAAATTTAAATTTGCACACTGGAATGCTTTCGGATAACCGGTTTTCGGATAAACGACGCTCTACTGTACTTGACTGTTGATTTTATATACTCATTTAATTATTGCGGGAAAGTAATTAGAACTTTATAAACCTGTTAAGTGTTACTCAATGTCAATACGCGAAACTTTTATTACAAACGTTTCGCGTATTGACATTGACGGTCAGACGAGCCTAAGAATCCAGCAACAAGTTGTGTAGCTGATGAGATTTTTTTAAAGAAATAACTTTTATATTATTAAGCGTAAATAAAATTGTGTGTGTTGTTGTATGTTACGACTTTTTGTTGTAAAAAACTTATTAAATGACAAAATTGGTAGGAAGAGTTTTGTAAAAAATAATAAATTGTAAATGCTAACAAGTAAAATTTTCATTCGAGTTCAACCCTCGACGTTCCACCACCAAACTTTAACGGAGTTATTAAACTTATAAGTTTAATAACTCCGGTGCTTTTTGTCGAAAATTTCTGAAATTTTGGAAGTAGGTTTGTTTATTAGAGGCATCGATACTGTTAAATTTTGGTAATTAAAGGTCGACGGGGTGGGTCGATAAAGGGGGTTCGTGTGTCATATCTCGAGTGAGGTCGGTCTTAATGACGATTTTACCGGTTATCGGCATTTACAATGTTTTTTTATAAAACCAGTCCCTACTCTGAAAATTAAGCCTTTTGCCATTTTATAATAATTAAAAATATAGTTTTTTAATTAAACAGAATATCGTAACAGATGATACCACACGTAGTTTTAAATGTTGCCGGGAAAGTTAAGCAACTCGTTGCTGAATCTTTTTGACTTTTTGGTTCAGGTCTCAACGTGAAGGTTTGCAAAAAAAAACCCGGAAGGCCAAATTTGACACGATTACAATATTTTTCCCTTGTTTATATACATAAACAGCAGGAAAGTTACGTTTCTTTGATACTAAAGTTAAATGATGAACTGTTAAAATAAGGAAAACTGTAAATAAATCGACAGAAAAGGTTTTTTTTTCTTTTCTTTTCTCACGGCATTTTCCTGATTAATATTGACATTTTGATACAATATTTTTCATAATGCAACAATACTCATTCTCTTTTTGTTGATAAACTTCATTTAGAAAAATAACTTCTGTTATCTTTTAGTAACTTTAGCATTGAGAAAACAAAAATGTCATTGTTATTACTTTGTGATTTATCTGTTTGGTTTCAAAAGAGTTTCCAATTTCTGTTCTTACGATTATGAAGTTGAACAGATAAAACTCTGTTACTGATTGGCTGTGTGTGACATTTTTCAATACTTATTCTTTTTACATATTAACAAATATCGATTAATAATTTACTCAAATTTGTATATATTTTCTTAATTATAGTCTTAAAAATATTTGGAAAAAATAAATTGAATCTGAAACAATTAATTAAAAAATTCTTTACTTCCAAATATGCACAAATAAGTTATTGCTAATAATTTTTAGATGTTAACATTATTAGATGGTTAAAGTTTAAGCACTATTGTAAAAAATAGCTTGCAAGTTCCAATTGGCACAGCTATACAAAAGTTAAATGGGTCGTTTTACTTACACGTAAAAAAAGAACACCGGTACACATAGAAAAAAAATCAGATCTATACGTGAACATAAATGTGAATATAAAAAAAAAACTAATAAAAAAAAGTAGCACTGGGAAACATATACCGAACAGATATCGAATAATAAACACGGTAATGTCCGTGGCTGAATATTTAATGTTTCATTATAAAAAATGAGATCTAAATGCTGGTGGTAAACAGTAATTTCCCATTATGTAGCCCTAACGCCCAATTTCTCTAAAACCTTCATGCCCTTCTCCTGATACTCTTGCCTGGACATCCAGAAACTTTCTTTGTCTCTCATGACGTCGGCAAGGACCGAACCGCCAATGAACACCATGTCCTTTCTTCTGGGAGGATCCTCGATGCGTATTTTAAATTTCTGAAACGAAAGCAACGGTCAAGCGGACTAAAACTTGATTAACCGTCGGGCGAAACTACACTTACGGCTAATTTTTCCGTTTCTCCTCTTAGTACTCTTTCCAGATACAGCTGCTTAATTTCTCTTTCCAGACGACTGGGAAGACCGGGATACATGGTAGATCCTCCGGATAGAACGATATGCTTATATAATTCTGGCCTGATATCAATATCTGCTGCTTGGATTGTATTAAATACTAGTTCGGCAATTCCTTGTCCCTCTACGTTTATCAAGTGGGGTTGAAACAGGGCTTCCGGGGCTTCGAACCTCTCTCCTCCCAGTTTGATCACTCTGCCGTCCGGTAGCTATGTGTAAATATTTGATATGAATTACACAAATACATACCAGTACGAGCTATAAAAAATTAAATCAGTAACAATGTAATTAAACACAGAAATGCTAGTTATATACAATTGTTCAATTTATCTTATTTTCATTACAGTAAATTGAATCAGTTAATTCATTGCACTGGTTTGTTTATTTTAGCATTGGAATAATTTCATAATGCAATGCAGGAGTAACTGTTAATTGGTTGCACTAATCTATGTTTGAAATATTAAAGAATTTTAACATATTATAACAAATATGATATAGCACTTACAGGATGCCTACAAAATAAGTTCACTTGTTTATAGCAGTATGAAATCAAAAGAATGTACAAGACATTTTGGTGTATGTTATTGAAGCCATTGAAAGTAAATTGATAAAAAAAATTTTACTTTTGCAAATTTTTTTCATCCAATGGAGATTATTATTATTATTATTAAACAAATAATTAAAGACAGTCTGCCCAAAAGGGGCCACCATTTATTTTTTGTGTTCCAGACTTCACATTCACAGCGACAGACCTTCCTTTATAGGCTACATGCTGCCAGAATTTAAAAAACACAATTACATCCAATTAAAAAAATCTTTTTATAAAAGGAACTGGTGTTATACAAAGATTTTTTTAATTGGATGTAATTGTGTTTTTTAAAGGACTGTTTTTTAAATTCTGGCGGCATGTAGCCTATAAAGGAAGGTCTGTCACCGTGAATGTGAAGTCTGGAACACAAAAAATAAATGGTGGCCCCTTTTGGGCAGACTGTCTTTAATTATTTGTTTAAAAATTTTACTTTCAAAAGTTGCTACCAGGTGAGCAGCATGTCTTTGGTTTTTCTGTTACCATTAAATATCCCTCATTATATATAAGATGACGCGCTAATAGCTTGGGATAGTTTTGGAGATGATTTGTTTTCTTTTGTGGAGAGAGAAGTAATTTTTTATCCCACAATTACATTTTTGCTTGAGGAGGAGACTGATAACAACACTGCCTGTTTAGACCTCTTCATAAAAACCTCTTTCTATTTGGTCTTTGAAGTCTTTTGCAAATTTGATTTAGATCTAGTAATCATTCTGTTCTTTCTAGCCATCCATCTATAAAAATATTGCTGTTACTACTTTAATATGTCATGTGTATTTATGGCCTTCTACACAACTTGAAGCTACCGCCAAATTCAAAAGAACAGAAATAGTTCATTTTAAGACAGATTCTTAGTTTGACCGTGATAGGTTGAAAAAAATTACTTTTTCCTAATTTCATAAGATACACTAAATGTATTTGATTTTAAACTGAACATGCTTCTATTGATGCACTTTTATCTTTAATTGAGACAAAGGAGCAAAGCTTGTTTCTTTACATTCAAATCTCCTTGAATTTAAATAAATGCCTCCGAAAATGCTTGACCGATCGTGACAATTTGGCACGACATCAAGTTGGGTCAATGAATATAATAAGCTATTTGGAATTACATTTGGGTTATGTTCTTGAGGAATATTTGGGAAAACTCTGCAATAGACCCGAGCTGGGATTTTGTGTGCTCAGAAAATGTGTGTGCAGTAGTTCAAGTTCTGTTTACAAGCATAAATAAACACACATCATTAAATCTGAAAAACACTAAATGTGTAGTCACCAAAAAAAATAGGCTTGACTCAATTACAATTCAAAATGCCAATTAACTTTCCAACTGATGTATTATGCTTCAATTATTAGTTGGTCTTAATTCTACAAGTTAACAATTTGACAGTGCAATGAAATTTAAATACAATTTAAAGTTTGTTACTTTTTAAATTAAAACTCTTTTTATAACTGAAGAGCTCATTCCCAAAATAAGTTCAGTCCAACGTACTGATAATGAATTTCAGCCACACATGATTCACTTATAGGCTACTCTATCAAATAGAAAAAAAAGACATTGATCTTTGTAAAATGAGTTCAGTTCATTTAATTTCCATTAATAATTGAAAGAATTTATTAAATTAGGAAATAATGCAAATGTACAAAATATACACAAATTAGAGAACAATACAAATATGTAAATAATTTGTACGTTAATCTTTGATACAGAACAGCAATTCCCAATTGGGGATGCATGCTTAGTATTTTAGGGGTACACTAAAAAATTAATGATGGTGGACTTACTATAACAATATTTGGATTCTGTGTTGAGGCTTTTGGCAGCATCACACATCACAGCACTCAATGCTGTTTCAAAGAAAAATATAATTATATTTTTATTTGAAACAGGATTGAGTGCTTATCTGAGTCCTTCCTCTAATGCTTTTCAATTTTAAAAAACTTTATTACATGTAATTGTATAGTGCTGTATAAGTGACCATGGCACCACTGTTTGGTGAACACACAAAATAAAACTTAGCGAAAATGGGCTACCTGCCAAAGTATGCAAGTCAAAAACAGTTGGAAACTGCTGATTTAGAATATAGGGAAATTTTAAAAACGGGCAATAAAATAAGTTTATATGATAAATAAGCTGCCAAGGGATGAAATAACATTATCCACTTTCTTTTGTATAGTTATTATCTATTTGAAAGCAAGTCCTGTCCATGGACCTAACTTGTTCTGTTTAAGATTAAACTTTTCTTTTGCACTAACAGTACTCCCTACAAAGTTTAGATTGTGTATTTGCAATCAACAGAGACCTACATAACATGAATGACAACCTACAAATGCACAGCACAAAACATAACTACATTTGTTCTTACAGTTTTTTTGCACTCCTGAAAGCTTTACAAAATAGAGTGAACTTGTTTGGGAATGAGATATTCAATTACAGAAACCAATACTATGCCTCTATACTGTTATGAAGAGTGACTTAAGTACTTGTAATGCTATAATCTTCAGCTGTGGAATGAAATGCAAAAATAAGTTGGCCTTAACGAAAATTCAACTTTTGTAACCTTTCATATTTAAGCATAAATCTTGCTCAGCTCAATTTGCAGGCATTGAAAACAATGAATGCAATCCTAGAACAATTAAAGTTTATTTAACATATTATTATTATTAAATTTGTGGAATTACTAAATTTAATAAGAAATGAAATTGAACCAATTATATTATCATTAAAAATTAAAAGATTACTCACAGTGTATGACTCTACCAAAAACGTTGTCTCCAAAGCAAGTTTTTGCTCTTGTTCAATATTATAACCGATGTAACAAAGTTTCTCTTTGATCATACGAACTGTTTCAAAATCCGCCGAATGGTTGAAAGCATAACCCCGCAATAACAGTAACTGGAAATGTAAGTAATAAGAATAATATAACATTTCTTATAAAAATACTTTTCATTTAAATATATAAATATTATACTCAGCACTACATATGTTATGATTTAGTTATGTAAATAAATTAACATTTTGAAATAAAATTTTGTCAGATAACTGTCAACTTTCACACCTGGGAGTTAATCATTTGTTAAGTTCTCAGCAGTAAAAGCAATGCTTTCTCATAATTTTCTGGCCTATTGTCTCGATTTCATCAGTTGAATATAGCAAGGAACTGCAAAGTTAAGCAGTCATCGCCAGTTCCTCAATTGGATCACTCACTTTTCCCTGTGTTCTAATTTATGGATACCCCGTGCTCCTTAGGATACCTCATTTTCAGATACCTCCTTGCCTACAGCCATAATACCTATTTTTCACTCAGAACTGTTGGAATAAGAACTGTCCTCCAGAACATTCTTTTCTGTCCGACCGGCTCGCAGCAGATTAAGATCTCCTACAAGATCTTCTACCCTCAGAACATTGCAACCAAGATCCTCTACAAGGTATTTATCCCCGTGCGTATCTTGTGAGTTCTCTCTCTCTCTCTCTCTCTGGCATAGTGACTCGTGTCTAAATTCTGTTTTGTCGCCAATGAGAGAATGCATAAGTTATATGAAAATAAATGGATATTTAGTTGTTAACTTTCGTATCTAAGTTCTTTACTTCCGTTGGGCTGATTCTCAGTCCTCCTTCCAGAAAACGATCACCCGCATACAAAGCCACTCGTGTGACCTACGTTCTAATCCAAATCAACACGCCGTCTTGGCTTCCGTGTCAACCGAGACATCGAACAGACGCACTAAAGAGGTGCTAACCCTCTGGTCACATTAACATTGTATGATTTTTAAAAACTATTTTGAATAAATTAAATATACCATATTCACTTGCACATAAGATGAGGTTTTTATTCATTTTTCGCTGTTTCAAAAACCTAGATTGTCCTATACGTGCAAGCAAAGGAATTTTTGTTTTTGCAATAATTTTTTCTGAACCGTGTATTTGCATTTTTTACCGGATGCTCACCCTCTGGTGTTTAAAAACAAAAGTGTTTTATCTGGGTCATTTTAATCATTATTGTGTAGTCAGGAGTAAAGGTGAATAGCAATAGGAAAAGCAAAGCTTTTGAATTGAATTCCAAAATAACATTGGAGCCTGATATAAGTTTTAATCCATTCCCACATGAAAACATAATTATTCGGAAATCAGAATTCGGAGAAACTCATAAATGTAATCGACGGAGAGTGGGTTCAACTGTTAAGAACTGACAAGAAAGGATCCAATTGTCCAGCTTTACACGAATAAATTATGTTGATTTTACAAGATTTTTCCGTAAGATTTAAAATGATAGTAATTTTTGCGGGACAATGTGTGCATTTACGTTCATTTGATATTTTACTTGTGATTAAACAAAATAAAATTAGAATTATATTAATAAATCTAATTTTCTTTATTTTGACCTTTAAAGTCACACCTCGTCATATATGCGAGATTGTCTTATATGCAAGTAAATACGATATTCAGATAAACAATGACTGTAATCACTGTTCATAATGATGAGATTAGTCAAATTGTGTTTAGATTATTGAATAATTAATGAAATTATCTGTGAAATAAAAATCTATTATTCAGATGTTTTTAACACAAGATAAAAACCTATAATGTCAAACATATCTATATGCTTGTAATGAATTAATGCACATAATAAAACTTATTCAAGAATCCAGATTTTATAACTTTCAAATTCAGTTATTATACAGTTTCTTACCATTTTCTTTTTAATTTCTTTTTAAAAGACACATATTTGATAGACATTAGGAATACTTATAGATTCTGCACCATTTAGGCCACCATTGCTTAAGCTTGTTTTCACCTTGAAGCAGCTCAGTGGACAGTGTACGAATGTGTCATGTGAACCAACTTTGACATCCTCAGTCACGTGACTACCTAGAAATGTTGCTCATGTCAGCCACAAAACGTCTCTAATGTATTTCTTGAGAACTTTTTGAACTCTGAACAGTCTGCCTCATGTTTTATCTTACTAATAAGTGAATTTCTCTGTGATATTATTTGGTGCTTTCATATTATAAAAGTCCCAAAATTAATTGTATATTTAATGATAAAGTGATGATAAAGCATTAACTTCTTTTCATTATTTTTACTACTCACTAACAAACAATTCATTAAAAAACATTTTAATTTTAAAGGAAACATTTTATTTCCAAACAGAAAAGTTTGTATATTATATACAGTCGACCCCTATAACACTGTTGATAATTTCATTTTATATGAATTCCATGTTGTACGAGTCACTTAGATTTTACAAATGTATGTACCGGGCTGTGAACGGCTCACGTATTTGTAAAATCTAAGTTACTTGTACAACATGAAATTCATATAAAATGAAATTATCAACAGTGTTATAGGGGGGGTCGACTGTATACAGTATCTATATTATTGTTATATAACTTCAGTTCAAATTTTAAAAAAAAGGTTACTTATATAAAACACGTATATTTGTAAATTTAGATGACAAATCTATAATTATTTATTTAGGATTATATGCATATAATCTCAATTTTAATTTAAAATAATTTGATAATTTATTCTGTTATTTACAGAGTTAAACATGAAAAATAAATTGTCATTATCAAATCTTAAGTTGGTGAGTTTTGTTGTAGGATGTTATGGTATTACTGGAAACATAACAAATGCAATGTTCATCAAACTGGTCCACAGACTCTTTGGAGTCCAAAAAGTTCTTGGGAAATATATGAGAAATGTTACATGGCTGATGTGAGTGATGTTTCTAGGTAGTCACATGACTGAGATGTTGAAGTTGGTTCATGTGACATTTTGTACACTTCCTTTGTCCACCAAGTTGCTCCACAAAGAAAACAAGCTTAAGCAATGGCGGCCCAAACAATACAGAGTTGATAAATAGTCCTATCAGATTTTGTTTATAGCATTTTTTTCATATGGGTCGGCACCAAATAATTGTGTTTTGGAAATGTCTATCAAATGTGTGTCTTAAAAAAAGAAAATGCATGATGATGATGATAAGAAACTATATAATTACCTCAAATTCTTCAAGATAAAATAGAAAATTACAAGAATTGCACAGCAGAAAACAAGAACAGTTCATTATGAAATACTGTAAAGAAATAGCCCTTTTTTTTGGCTTCTTAATATTGGATCTTTATATTGTAAACAAGAATTCATCAAGGATTGTATCATTCACCCATTAATAGGGAACATGAGTTAGATCTAGACAAGGCAACCAAGATATTAGGTTTAACCTTACCTTCAAAATCTGTTTGTATCAAAATGATACAAGATCACTGCTAGGGCACTCATCAGAGACCACCTCAGCAATCTTTGCTTATCCTACAGATATTTGTAACAAAAATAATTTGAAGTATATCCAAATATGTATATATCATATATAATTAACTGGTATCTGATATTGCATCTCCTAGCTAGGCTAGCCAACTCCATTGTGGATCAGTTCTGTCTATAATAGATGAAACTGTAACTAGCTATATAATTTTCAGTTGTTTAATACATCTCATGGGTCATCATATTAAATGCTTCTACCTCAGCAACATTCAGTTCATTGATTATTGCCTACCTCTATGCACTGACAGACACTCTGACGAATCCTCCAACACATTGTCAGAGATCATGAAATCTGGGCTTCTCAATTACCAAGGGAGGAAAGCCTGAACTGCATCAGAACTATTATCAATCCATTGATTTGGAAACTGTTCATCCAGATGTGTTCAAACAGTGATGGCAAAATGTGTTGGTGCAATATCCTGTTGAAAAGCAATGATACCAGAACACTTTTCTCTATATGCTGTGCTCATAAGCCAGATGTAAAGCTTTTGCATCTTGAATGATGGAATCCAAAGATCCATTAAAAAAAAAATGCCAAACAATGATGAAATTGACTGTCATTCCAGCCAAAATCATAACACAAGTAGGATTTTCTTTCCAATTTAATTGCAAAGTATTGGCTGTCCTTGGCCATAAACATTAATCATGAGAATGACAGCTTTGATAAATTGCACATTCATCTGTAAAAATAACATTATCACAAGCTATTTCAGAATAAAATCTTTGCAGCAGAAATCCACGAGCCATGAATCATTTGTCCATACCATTGTTCAACTCATTCACAAAAACAAGGTGATATGATTTCAACTGTGAATGCTTTTTTCTATGTTGCTGCATCATTGACTGTGGTATCCTCAATTCAACAGCTCATTTACAAGTTGATTTCTGAGGTAACATTTCTATAGACACAGCAACAGCTTGACATGATTGACACTTTGTTGATGAACAATCACTATGCAACTGATCTTTCATGAAGACTGTTAAAAATGCTTGCTTTTCCAATTACTGCAGAGTATTTTTCAGTGAAAATGTTTTGCCAAATCATGTTTTGAACATTAACCTGTTTCATCAGCACACCTATTTATAAACCTAACTGCAGCCACCAAATGTTCCTCAATGGAATGAGGCCATGTCTGTCACCATGGCCAAACTTGTTTTGAGTGATTCAGTGCTCTTCCCTCAATGGAGGTAACTATCCCCTGCATCAGATCCTGTGATAAGTCATTATTCATTTATAAAAGAAGGATAAAGGATATATGAACCATACTGAAGAATTTGAGAATGAAGAAAATTGGTTACAGAAATATTTAATAACATGAAACTAGCTTCTTAGGTTAGTAAAACACTTTTTAATGATTTTTTCAGTATGTAAAGGGCTGGTCAGAATGTGTCAATTAATGAAGTTAAATATTATAAAAGAGAGAAATCCATACTTTTATTAAATATCTTGTTATGTCCCGTCCGGCAATATCTAGTCTTCGAGTTAAGTGAGACAGTGCATATCCTTCATACACAGGACAGATATGAGTAACTCCATCACCAGAATCAACTACTACACCAGTTAATAAACCTACAAAAGAAAAAAATGTATACAATTTAATGAAATATTATCAATTTCTTTTATTATTGTATTTATATCAAAGTATAAAACACATCATCAAGAGTGCATATTATCTGCTACTTTTCAGGGGTTACATTTTTAATTTTATAGAAAGCTGTTTAAATGTAACTCAAAATTAAAAGCAAATTTAATCTAATACAGCTTGATCCTCACTCCAAATGTTAAATAGCAGGAAGGAAAATTCACTGAGAATGGCGTTATTAATAATATTTTACTGATAGCGCTTTCAATGAACCTATGTTCGTCATCATCAGGCAAACAATTTTTTTTTTTAGTTAAACATTTGGCAGTATGTGCAGCTGGTTTTTCATGTGCTAAGTTCACACATATACTTAACATGGTCAGGAAATCTCTATTTCCAACCACAACATTATGTAACAAGAGGAAGATGTCAGTAGTGCAAAAGTCATTACCATACCTCAGATCCTTTTCCATATACATTTGCCACATTCAGGCAACACATTCCTATTTCCGTTACCAAATTTGTGCAGACTCACCTGCAATGATCAGAACAAATTCTCCACCTTTGAGAAATCGGGGGTTTATGCTGTACCATTGGAGAATCCTGTAAAGCCCTGGTCACACTATGCGATTTCTAGCCACGCAGGTGAATGCAACTGCAACAAGAGCGAGTCGCGCGCATCTTCTCGTGGTCACACATTGTTTGTTGATGTTGCAACTCAGAAACACGTGACCCTATAATAAACCAATAAAATTACAGTAGCTTGTTTTTGACTACTTTCGTGAGTTTGCCGATATTTTACGTTCTACTTCAGAGTATTTACGGAATTTTAGCCACTTTTCTTATTAAAATAGCAAGCAGTTCCTTTTCTGGAATGAATAAAAGAAAAAAGGCGATTATTTTGATAGAGCAGGCGCGAATACACGAAAAGATAAAATCTTCGATAAAACGAAGAATTAAAATCCCACAGGTATTCGTGAGCCTGAATAAGCTCGATCAACCTCAATTCCGTAAAGTATTAATCCCCTAACTATCCGCCACGATGATGAACTATTTTCAATGTTGTCACTGTATGACGTGGCACAAAGGCATTTGTTGATTGGATGCGTGTTTGCAATCGTCGCGAGTAGAACAAACTTTTTGTTTCTAGTTGCGATTGCAGTCGCGCCGGTTTTCGAGGGGGGATTACTAGTTAACGGGAACAGCCGTCGCGGTTGCAGTTGCCTGCGCGGCTGGAAATCGCATAGTGTGACCAGGGCTTAACAGAGATGAATACAAGATACATTGTGGCCACAACAAGAATGCTCGCTTGCCACCTACCTAAGCAAAAGGATGATGTGGTGAAAGGAAAGTGCACCACAGAGCTTGCAAAAAAGTTGCTCAAATGGAGTTACAACCTGTTACGAACCTAAATAACAATACTCAGATGCTGTAGCAACCAGGAACTCATCTTTATATGGGAATTTCTCCTCACAACAATTTTGAAATCATGAAACACTCCCACTCTTGACCTACCCAGAATATGGGTCACCCTATATAAACAGTTAAACAGTGATTTACATCGACTGTCACACTGTTAATGTGGATCTTCATCCACACATGTGCCGCATCACATCATACATATAACATCACATGCATAACATCGAATGTATTCAATGTTTGTAGCTTGCTCATAATGGTTTTAATTCAAAAAATTTTAAATTTAAATAATATGCATTCCATTCTCATTATAACATTTGTATTTGATTTTAAAAAATGTTTGTTTGCCTGACGACAACAAACATAGGTTCATTGAAAGCGCTAGCACTACAAAACTATTAATAATGCCATATTCAGCAAATTTTCCTTCCTGGAAATTAAATCTTTGGAACAAATTTTAAACAAATATTAAAGAAAAAACTGAAAATCATTATTTAAGAAATGAATTCATATAAAAAGCAAGCAGTCAGACAAGGGGAGGGAAAGGGTTGAACTTCAATGGACATCCATCTTATTTCATTAAATTTTATACAGTTTGTGCATTTTATTATTCATAAAGTGATAAAGATTTTGAGAAGGGTTGAGTTTTGTTGGACGTCAAAGAAGGGAGGAAATTACAGAAACTCAGACAAACAGAGACAATGGAGGGAGGGAGAGTAAAAATTTCAAGAAAAATGCAGATGTAATTTATGGACAGTCCCTAATACTAAAATATACGATTTTCAAAAATCATAAATCCTTTGATGATCAATATGAAATTACAAAATAATAAATCTTTGTAATTATTTTTAATATGATTTGAAAAATTATCAAGTATTGATTTCATATTAAAAAGAAAAAATAACCAAATTAAATAAGCTATCTCACAATGTATTTTTAAAAAATTGTGATAATTTTACCCTCTACACACTATTAATTAGTTTAGAATCTAGACCATAGCTGGATAATCTTTTGTAATCAGAAGGCTGCATCTCATACATCAGGATGCACAAGTGTACACATTCAGTATACATGTACAGTACCAGATATGTATGCACATAACTTGTATTTAGATAGATCTCACTTTTTCTAGTGAAGACATTATGACAGCATGCTTTATATCTCAAAATTCAGGACAGCAAAATTAAGCTTGTAGCATTTTATACTGTTATTAAGATACACTAGAAGCCATAAAAGATTGAAGATTCCCCTCCTATAATCTAGATAGGCTGTTTTCTGTTTGGAAGGTATAATTATAAATATAAATGAGTTTTTTTTTTATTCATAAATTCTTACAATAAACCTTTTTTTTAGAATATTAGCTCTATAAAAGAAATATTTTTCTATTGCTAAAATATTTTTTTTTTTTTTAAGTAATAGAAATACAGTAAAAATTTGTCAATCTAGCACCTATAGGATCAGTATAGTGCCAAATTACTGAAAATATTGGGTTACCAGAGGGTTTTGTATTTGTGAAAAATTTAATAAATTATAAGGTATACAAATTTAAAATGAAATAAAACACATAAAAATGTTAATGGCCATGGTGTTGGCTTTATTTAAAAGATAATTTTATGCCATTAGTGTTTAAACATGATTTCGGGCATATGGGTGCCACGGCTGGCTCGAATGAAGCGCAATCAGGAAGAACAATTTTCGACCACTATCGAGCAACTGGGGCCATATATCGGCAATAACACGACGAATGTTGAGTAACTTACATCCATTAAAAGTCACTGTTTGGTGTGCTTTATGGGCAGTTGGAATCATAGGTCCATATTTCTTTAAAGATGATGCTGGCCAGAATGTTACCATCAACGGAGAGCACTTTTGGAGCCATAATTGCTGACTTCTTCATTCCTCAGTTGAATGGTATTGATGTGGCAGAGCTTTGGTTTCAACAAGATGGTGCAACATGCCACACAGTGCGTGACACCATCAATTTATTGCAGGAAACATCCGACAAGTGCATAATTTTGCATAATGGACCTGTGAATTGGCCTCCACGATCGTGTGATCTCATACCTATGGATTACTTTCTTTGAGGATATGTGAAGTCACTAGTCTATGCCGATAAACCACAGACATTGGACCACTTGGAAGTCAACATTTGCCGCATTATTGTCGATATATAGCCCCAGTTGCTCGATAAAGTGGTCGAAAATTGTTCTTCCCGATTGCGCTTCATTCGAGCCAGCTGTGGCGCCCATATGACCAAAGTCATGTTTAAACACTAATGGCATAAAATTAGCTTTTAAATAAATCCAACACCATGACCATTAACATTATTTTTGTGTGTTTTATTTCATTTTAAATTTGTATACCTCTAAAAAAAACACCCTATATATATGTATGCAATCTAAACATTGTAGACATTGCTAAGTTCTTTGTTCCAGACCAGTGCATGCAGCAGTTTGTTTCCAATATGTTTATTCACACTCTTTAACCAGACTAAGACAATACAGTGCATGACTATACGGCATACATATTGACTGAAAAACCTGCAGGAATGTTAATGAACATGTTATTGCTCAGGTCTTTAGCATACCTTGTGTCCAAATAAATTCAAATTCATGAAATACTAGCATTATTGAACAATTCCAGATTATCTGCTGTTTATCAAAGGATGTTGGATTACTGAATTTATATTGTAAATTAATAAAAAAAAAAATCTGATAATACTGTAGCTCTATCAATACTTAAGAAAAAAGAATTAAACTGATATTGTAAGATTTATATCTAATCTAATAACTTTTAAATTCAAATAACTGAGTTTTGAATCACTTCTAGTTTTTTATTTATTTATTCTTAAAATTTTTAATCTAATAATTTAAATTAATTAATATGATTAATTTCCAATATTTGTTAAAAGTAATGATATATAATTGCAATATCTGTTGCTTATAAAAATTTTCTGCTGTGAGCTGTAGACAAAAAATTAATAAAAATATAAATCTGAGCTTTGGTTGTATCAGCAAGAGGCATGGACAGAAACAAACTTCAAATTTTGTATTTAAAGATATAAAAAAGTTAATTCTTTGACAATTTTATTTATTTATTTTCAATTAATTCAAAAAAGGAAAAAAAGTTAAACCTCAAGCAATAAAGTTAGTCTTTGGAGTGAAAGATAAGAATTAGTTTTAATTCTAGAATGATCAATTCTAATTTAATAAGTTGAACAGATGAAATCTATTAGATATTCAACAGTAAGCTACAATATATATAAAACTTATGAGATAAAATGATTGTCATCTATTTTTTCTTTCCAACTATTTATCCAAGGCTAAACTAATATTAACAGTAAATGATTTTTTAAATAAAATATAAAAATCATTGCTTATTCTATTATCTTTATTGCTTTTATATACACATTTCGATCCTCAATATATCACACTTAATAGGATAATTTTTCTAAAAATACAAAAATAAAACTAAACAATATTACATTAAATTTATATAAAAATCCAACAACGTACAATTATTGGTCTACAGGCTTTGCACATTCAAAATTTCTTACTTTCTCTTTCACGAGTATTGCCACCTACAATTGAGTGTCATTCCTGCAATACACTTATACCCATATTTAAATTAACCAAATTTACATTTTTATCTTTTAATTTTTTCTTTATTGTAAAATGTTTTTAATTTCCCCTTTTTTATAATCTCTTTCACATTACAGAGAATTTTAGTATTATCCNATTACAATAATTTATATAAAAATCCAACAACGTACAATTATTGGTCTACAGGCTTTGCACATTCAAAATTTCTTACTTTCTCTTTCACGAGTATTGCCACCTACAATTGAGTGTCATTCCTGCAATACACTTATACCCATATTTAAATTAACCAAATTTACATTTTTATCTTTTAATTTTTTCTTTATTGTAAAATGTTTTTTATTTCCCCTTTTTTATAATCTCTTTCACATTACAGAGAATTTTAGTATTATCCTGTTCTTTTTCACAATTATATTCATGTTTTAATTTAGATAGAGTTAGATAGCCTAATAAATAGGATTTAACAATTTGGAGGGCTTATCACACCAAGGCTGACAGAAAAGAAGACCAGATCTATTACAAAAAAGTTAGTCTTTAATAATCACTTCAAATTTAGGTAAGAATGCAAGACTAACTTTTTTGTAAAAGATCTGGTCTTTTTTTTCTTTCGACCTTGGCGTGATAAGCCCCCAAATTGTTAAATCCTATTTATAGGCTATCTAACTCTATCTAAATTAAAGTCATGGGTTAAAAGCATTGTTTATTATTATATTCATGTTGCTGTTGTAACTATGGCAATCATTGATGTTTTAAGTTTAATGCTGTTACATTTCTTTACTCTGGTTTTTATCTGTTGACCTGTTTCTCCTATATAGATCTTTTATTTTTATCTAAATTTAATGTAATACAGTAGAACCTCGTAAACTCGGCGTAATGTGGACCGAAGGGTGGCCGAGTTTGTGAAAATGCCGGGTTATCGGGAATGGGGTTAAAAAAAATAAGTACGAGTGTTTCCTCAGAAAATACTGTACTGTACTTGTATGTATTGTTTACTTGAGATTATAACAGAGAATAAACTGCCCAAATACCCTTAAACAAAGGAAAACTATGTACTTTATGAAGGCTACGTACTTTACTACATGAAAATGAAAATTAATGAATACACTGTAGACAGACCTCAGAAAAATACTTTATGAGAGCTTTTATACTTTTATAAAGCTGTCTATAATGAAAATTAATTAACTAAGGATTTTTTTGCCCTGCCAGGGTGTGGACGAGTTATCCGGAGTGCCGGGTTATCGAGGGCCGAGTTTTCGAGGTTCTACTGTATTGCTTTATTTTTATTTTTGTATTGTTAGAAAAACAATCCTATTAAGTGTGATATTATACTGAAAAAGATCTTAGATTGAAATACATATATAAAAGCAATAAAGATAATACTATAAAAAATTATTTTAAATTTTATTTTAAATATCATTTACTGTTAATCTAAATAAGCTTAGCCTTGGACAAAGAGTCAGAAAGAAAAAATAGATGACAATCATTTTATCTCATAAGTTATATATAGTGTAAATAATCCGACCCAGTATATAAAGAGTATAAATTATACTTATAGTCTTTTAAAAGAATAAATACAAGTAAACTTAAATTCAATATCTGCTTCCATTAGTAAAGTAGTTTTAAAGTTTATTTTGTAATCTTTTATAATTCACTTATTAATAAACTTTACAATTTTAACAATGATAAAATATTGATGACATAAATATCCGACTTAAAAATCCCAAAACAAAACTGAATATTAACTAAAACGAAAGTATAATCAATTTCCTACAATTCCTACCTTGCATATTAAGAATCTTCAGTTGGATTTAATAATATATTAATACTTTTTAATATTTTAAGTCACAATTTTGTTCTGTTTACTTCTTAAATTGCACCATTGTTGTTTTTACTAAACTTGCTGAATATATTTATATTAATATCTCTAATTTTCTACTTTTTAATTAAACATACAAGGTTTAATAATAAAGTTCCAGGACTGATGCTGGTACTCTGTTACTGGTAATGACAGAAAAATGCTTAATGTATCAGATTAAAGCTTTGATATTCCTCTTTTGCAGGACAAGTGAAGATTTGGTAAAGAGAGCATCTTGCCCTTCTAAACATTAGTCATCGAAGGCACCTTTGTTCCCATTGTCATGGATTCCCACATGGAACAAAGAATGAACATCGAGTTTTGCTGTAAGTAAGGGAAATTGACAACAGAGACTTACAAAATGAACAGAACCATTTACTGCAAGAATGCCCTATCCCATGGTTGTGTGTTTGAATAATAAGCCCAACTTCGCAATGGACATGAAGATGTTTGTAATGACCTAAGAAGTGAACGTCTGTCTACCAGTTGTTCAAAGGAGACTGTGGAGCATGTTCATAATCCATCCATCATCCATCATGTGGATGGTCAAGCAACAGTCTGACTGTTGCTTGACCATCCACATGATAGAGAATGTGCTGCATATCAATCACAAAAAAATCTGACAGATAGTGACAGAAGATCTGGGAAAAGGAAAATTTGTGTCTCACTCTTTGACTGAAGAGCAAAAAGCTCAGAGTGTCCAGTGCTGCAAAGAATTGATTGAGGTCATGGATTCAGACCCTTCATTGCTGGATCACATCATCACAGATGATGAAACCTGGTGCTTTCAATACAATTCATCAACAAAAAAGGCAAAGCATGGAGTGGAGAGGAACAAATTCACAATGGCCCAAGAAGATTCACCTACAGAAATCAAGGATCAAGACAATGCTGATTACTTTTTTGACCACCAAGTCATCATTCACATAGAATGCGTTCTTGACGGTGCAACAATCAACAGTCCCTTCTATCAAAATGTTCTTTAATGAGTACTGAAGTACATTCATCATGTGAGACAATGTCTACAAGAATGTGGCAATTAAGCCTGAAAGAGGATGACAATGCTCATCCTCTTTCAGGCTTAATTGTGACACAGTTGTTAGTGAAGTGTGGTGTCCCCAGGCTCAACCATCCACCTTATTCCCCAGATTTGGCTCCCACAGACTTCCCTTCATTTCCTAAACTCAAACTGGCACTGAAGGGACAACATTTCAGGAATGTTTAGGATATCCATATTTCCATGATGGTACAACTTAAGTGCATTCCAGAGAATGACTTCAAAACCAGTTTTGGAGACCTCAAGAAGCAGGCAAAGCTGTGCATTGAATGTAAGGGAAACTACTTTGAATAATCTTCACCACAATTTGCTACAGTAACTTCAACATTCCAGGTACCAGCATCAATCCTGGAACTTTATTGTCAAACCTTGTATATCTTAAGATTTTAATTTTATTTAAAAAAGTAATTTAAAATACCTTGCGCATAAAGAGTAAGAACAGCTTGAATGGCTACATAACTAGCAGCAAACTGATATTTCTCAAACATCACCTGGAAAAAAAAAAATGCAAAAATATTAATTTTTTTCTACAGAACTGTTTAATGAATCTCTTTTAACATGCAAATAATAATTGAGAAATGGAAAGAGTGAAAGTTTCCTTAATAAATTGTATTACTTACTAAATTTATTTTTAAAAAATGTTATCAATAAAAAAGAAAGTTTTAATTATGTTACATTNTATCTAAATCTAATATACTTCTGGAAGCGAAGACTAGCTCGGGGTCCGGGTGGCGTAACTGGCAAGCGCACCGCACGGCACCCGGAGGTTGCGGGTTCAAGCCCCGTCCAGGGCCAGTTCTTTTATTCCAGAATGTTCTAAATTTATTTATTTAATTATTAATTTAATTAAGAGATGGCGCCTAACGCCTACCTTTAATGTCAAATTACTTAGTTCCAATCATTTAAAATAGCCATATTATAGCCCGATAAATTAGGTGATCGTTTGGTGTTGTTGTTATCAATAAAGAAGAAAGTTTTAATTATGTTACATTTTCTTTTTCTTCTAAATAAAATGATTTTTTAAACTTGATTTCTTAAAGACATTCTTATATTTTAAGTTAATACTTTCAATCTTTTCCATTTTTTTCTTCTAGAATAATCCTTATATAATAAATTTGATACCATTGTAAGCTACAATACCTATAAACTAGAGAATAAGGTTTATTCCTCCAGTATAAATTATCTGAAATTCAATTAATGTTTTCATCAATGAATCTGTTGTCTTCAGGTCAATCATGATAGGATACAATAATGCCACATAAATTATAAAAGTAACACATCTTTTGATCCAAGATGTGGATTGTAAACAAGTCCAAAACATATTTTCATCTGATTCTAAAAAATCAATTCAATTATTGATATTCTTTCTTATTAATATTATCAATTATTATCAGATAAAATTTCAAATCTGCCAACTTTCAAATAAATATAATAGTTTTAATTTTACTATAAAATTATTAAATTCTTAACTCTTCAGTTTTAATAACTCATGAAGATAACAATTTATTCGGTATCTATATTAAAATGATTTATTTTAAGACTGCTTAGGAAGCTTAACACTTCAACAAAATGGTTAGCCTTCACTGAACATATTGAATTCAATCAGATTATGAAGCCCAGCCTACACTTTAGCTGAAAATAGTGGGGAAGGTTGAACATTATTGTTAAAACTGCCCAAAGTGAAGTAGTTCTGGCTGGTCCTAAATCCAGAAAAAGCAGGAAACTAGTGATTAGAAAAGTAACTATCTGCAAAACATCTGTCTAAACTGACTGTTCCCTGTGTAAGGAACTGTTTTGGTAACCCCATGTGAAAATATCCCAAGTGGAATAAAGAAGAAAGCAGTTTAGTACCCCTGAAGATTAGAATTTCTGACCTGGGAATTCCTGAAAAATTTCGAAATTTTTCTTGTCTCGACACCCAGGAAAGACTGCTCGAGACTTTTATAAAATTAAATTTAAAAATCTGAAACAGAAAAGTGTTGAATTTATTATAAATTCAAATTTCAATAAAATAAGTACTGAATCTAAGATGATGATTAAAAGTTTATTACAAACTAATGAGACTTATTTAACGAGTGCAATAAATATAAGGTAACTTGAAATTTTATACATCAATTTGTATTTCTTTTAAATGTAATACATTATCATCTTTATTATCAATATGGCTATGAACAAGGTGCAACAAAACAGCCAAAAGAAAAAGACATATTCATTATTTGCCCGTTTGAGTCAATTCATTCATACAATTATCCTTCTTTCTATTTCAGGCAAATATTAGTTAGTCAAGCAAACAAACATTTTGTTCACATTTATTATATGTTAATTTTCATTTAGTTTTTGTTATATGTAATTAATAACAACTATCATCATTTTGATATTATTTCCTTTCGTTTATACTTAAACTTTTACATATAACAACAGATAATCCAGTAGATTGTTTGGCATAAAAACTTTTACTCTTTATGCATTAATTCAAAATAAAATCTGTTAAGATAAAATTTTTTATTTTAATTCAAAACCTGTATTTAATTCATTGCATTAATATATTAAAATGACAATAAAATATATTGAAATACAAGTAATATATCAAAAAAACTAATTTTTATGATAAAATCCAAGTCCCAGCAGTTGAAAAAAAACCTAGAACTTTAAGGAAAAAGTTTCAAGTCTTGGAAACATAAAAATAACTGAGATTCAAACCCTACTGAAAATGATAGGTTATTTGAAACTATGTGATTTTAATAATTTTATAAACTCTAAGCAATCTTAAAGTATTGATATTTATTCTTTAATAATTTGTTTTTTTAAGAATTGTTATATTTTCATGTGAATTGAAGATAAAACTTTATTGTCATCAAAACAACATATTAATTTATTAATTATAGTTATTTAAGATATATTCAATATTCACCTCTATCATTTTTTCTCTATTTTTTACTGGATTCATTGGTGGTTCAGTAAGGAGAATTTTGCTATTCTTTGGATCAATATTCATTTTTGATGGTCCAAAGGTATAATCCCATATGTGACACATGTCTTCCCAGTTTCTCACGATACCATTCTCCATCGGATAAGCAACTTCAAGCATAGATCTTAATTTACTAGCTTCGTCTCCAACCATTAGATCCTGAAAAAATATATCTTTTAAATTAAACTTAGCATATCTTTGTTAATGTAAATTTGAAAATGTTTCAATAATAGTTATTTAATGTTACAAAATAAATATTAGATTTCTAAGAAGAACAGCTGCTTTTTTCTTAATTATTTTAGATAAAAAATTGTATGTTTTGTCTTACAACAGGTCATATTTTTCTCAAATAAAGAAGTTAAAATAGTAAATAATTTTAAAAGAAATTAATACAAGACAAAAACATTTCAGGACTGGTTTTACATTAGTAAGGTTAGAGAAATTTACAAATTTTCAAAATGATTTTTTTTTTATAATTCTTCTATATTAAATTAATTGATTTTTTAATCTGTTTCTAAAATCAAAGAAGAAACTCTTACTAAATTTTAAAAATTTTAGAGTTTTATTGTAAAAAATTTAAAATTTACAAACTAACTTTAGACAAATGCTACAATATTCTTAAGTTTATCTATGGTAAGATTTCTAATTTCTAATCTCATTCAAAATTAAACAAATCACATTAGATATTCAATAAAATTAAAAAAAAGTTTAGATAATATGTAGATATTTACTTATCAGTATGCCGACAACATTTAACTGTAGAAAATTATCTGAAAATCAATAATTAAAACTGCTATATTTTATCAGCTATATACTAAATTAATTAATCTATATGGTAGTAGAAGTGGAGATAAGCATTGTCGTAATACTGTAATTTAAATTACCTAATTATCAAATTAATTTATAAACATCTAGAAAAAACAAAGTGGTATATTACAAAAACATAGTTACTTAGAATTAATCAACAGGCTTATTATACTCAACTTTTCCAAATGTACTCCAGCCTTACTGGCCCTTTTCAATTGGATAACACACAAAAAAACAGAGAGTATGGTAACTATCACCAACATTATAATATACCTTAGAAGTACAATAATTACAAATTATTAAAAGTCTTAAATAATAATCCCGTTCATTAATCCAAAGTAACTATGTTTTGTAATTAATACAGGTGAGAAGCTTTTTAATATAATATGGTACAATTTTAAATCCATAATACTTATTAATAGATAAACTATTATTAGTTATTTTACCTAAATGCTTTACTAAGAACTATTTTAACATATAAGGAATTTAACATTGAATGATTGCCAGATTACATGTGGGCTCTAATAACGTTACTAATTATTAAGTAATTTTTACTAGAGGTAGGCATTACGCACCATCTCTTGGTAAATATTTTAAAATGTTCATGAGATATACTGTCCCACCATCACCACCTTATATTCTCAATATAAGATGGTTGGTGATCAAAAATCAGTTTCTTTTCCATAGAAAATTTCATCACTTTTCATATTTACCTTAATATATAAGAGCATTATTTGATATATTTTAAAGTTAAAAAGTGAATTTTTAAAAAATTAAACAATATAATTGAAGCTCGACTGTTATCAAAACAAAATCCTATATCATTTTCAGGCTTAATAGTTTGTATACAAAATGATAGCATAACTGCATACATCCAGGCCAAATATTGATATTTAATTAATTAAATATTAGCTTAAATCTTATCCAAAAATAATCTTGCAATTTAAAATTATGTATTAAAAGAAAAGAGTATGACATTATCAACAAATATGAATAAGTAAATACATATACAATTTACCAAGGCCAATATAATAATACAAGATTAATATACAAACACCTGACTGACTGATAAATTTCGGCTAAATGTAGGCATAATCACTTACATTTAGACCAAATTAACTCAATTAATTAATAGTCAAAGTATTCAGCAATCAGATACAGTAGACTTTCGATAACTCAAAGCTGAAGAGATACAAAAATTTTCAGTTATAGAAACTACCATTATTTTAATGAAATAAAATATCTCACAGTTATAAACAATATAGTTAAAATTTAGCTATAAAAAAAATTAACAAATAAAAATTAACACACTAACTTTAGAATAAACACAGCAAAATTCTTAGATTTATTTATGATAAGACTTTTATTTTCTATTCTGATTCAAAATTAAACGACAGACAGTCAACAGCTAAATTATGGTATTAACTACAAAAGTGTTTAAAAAATTAAAAAGTATTAAAAAAAATTAAAGGTGGATACAATGGTTTAATGATGTAAAATACTAAGTGCAATATTTGTTATATTATGTGTATATTTTGTAAAGGTCTACACCACCTAAATGGCACATTTGGAATATGTTTATCAGAGTGTACAGGGGAACACCAGAGTATAAAATTCTTAAATATTCCACAACTCTAAGATTATGAAATATTGTGAATTATAATACAGTGATACCCCAAACTTGCATGATAGGTAGGACTGAGCGATAACCGCGTAAGTCGAATTCGTGTAAGTCGGGGTATAATTTCGCAATTTGTGTAAAATCCAAGTCGGATGTATGTAAGCTAATAAATGCTCTCATTAATCTTATCTCGTCTTTTGATTCGTTTATGGTTACAAGAAATCACCATAAAGAGTCTCTCAAGTCTCCGTAGATATAACAAACACAGAAATAAATAACACAAAATAAATTGTAGCTATGTGTCAATTCCGCACAACACGTCTGAACATGTAAGCTGAACAATAGTGTGGGGAGAGTGAGTAATCAAGAGTTGCATGGCGCTCAAACAAAAGAGGAATCGATGGGATTTGAAAATCGCGTAACTCTGGGTTCACGTAAGTCGGGGTTGTGTAAGTCAAGGTATTACTGTACACATACAAGAGAAGATCATTTTACATTGTGTGGCACTTATTTTTTCATATATTGTACATCTAGAGTAGAACGTTATCACGGTTTTTTACATGTATTGATGGTGTAGTTTTGTTAAATGTGATTAATGCCAAATCTTAATATTCTTTTAATAGTTGTAAATGCCATATTTTAACTGGTTTTGTTAATTCTTTAAACATGTTTATATGCATATTGATGTTATTTTTCTGTATTGTCTCAAAACAATTTCCTGTATTTTAGACCTATATCCAACTGAAGAGGGCTAAGTAAAGAAAGCCAAAATGCATTTATAATCTAAATAGCATAATAGAGTCTTGTATGATAAACCTGTAAATTTAAAATGCAATATAATAGTCCAGTGATTCCCAACCTGTGGTACGCGTACCCCTAGGGGTACGCGATAGGTTGTTTAGGGGTACAGAAAAAAGTTAGTTATTATGGCAGAAAAAATAATATATTATGTATCACAAACTAATAGTATTAAAAAATTANAAACAATTTCCTGTATTTTAGACCTATATCCAACTGAAGAGGGCTAAGTAAAGAAAGCCAAAATGCATTTATAATCTAAATAGCATAATAGAGTCTTGTATGATAAACCTGTAAATTTAAAATATAATATAATAGTGTAATATATATAATAGAGTCAATAAAATAAAAAACAAACCTGCATACAAATTTGTAATTGACAATTCACTGCTTTTTGCTGAACAATGCTTTTCACAAATTCAATTGCCTCAAAAACATCTTGTTTTTTGAATGATGTACTTTCTAGAAAGCCAGAAAAGTTCTTGAACTTTTTGCTATTCCTACATGTAGAAGCAGAACATTTACGCTTGACAGGATTTATTTCTTCCTCATCTTCATTGCTTGTTTCTTGCACTTGGTTCTTTACTTTAGCTAATGATGTCTTCAGACAGCTAGATCATTGTCAACATTGACAAAAACTTTAAATGACACTTTCTCATCACTCATTGTTGTAATGAAACTGACCTAGTCTTCTTCAATATAGCTGATTGATTTATTCAAAGTGTAAACAAGTTTCTCACCAAAATCTACTTTAGTAAATCAATTTGCAATAGTTCTTTGTAGAAGCTCTTGATTCCTAACTTTGTTGGACTGCAATTTGAAAAAATTGTAGATCTATAAATTCCCACTGTTGTTTGTCTGTCTTTCCTGAATCTTGAGAATGGAATTAGATAGATGAAATCCGAGCCCAGATATGGAAATCTTAGAGGCAGGAGTACCCAATTAACTATATATGAACTTCCAGTGCAAACCAGAAGTCACATTATTTCAATTCAAAACTTTTCCCCTGAAAGCAGTTAACAGAAAATTGGCATGACTCTATTGTTAAAGGAAAAGTATGATGTACAGGGGCAAGACACTACAGTACTAATTTGAGGTGGAGAGCATATATTTTAAATTAAATTAATTAAAAATTTCAGCTTAGCATTGTGATGATGTCACTATCATTTAAAATGTGAACATGCAATTCAAACTTTACAGTGAGATTTAAACAGTAAGAATGTTTAGTTCCAAACAAGGAAATACATGTAGATAAACTCATAAATCTAATTTGTCAAATATAACAACTTAATAAATTGTCAAACCACAAACACATTTATTACATTTTGAAATTTTCAAAATTTAAAAATTTAAAAATAATTTTAAAGCACTAAGACTTCATTAGTCAATTTTTTTTAAGAATAAGTTTGTTACTTTACATGCAAAACACTGTTAAAATTTTGAATTTTATGTTGTACAGAGATATAATTCTATTCAATACTAGTCTACTACTTCATGACAATATAATTTTTCCTTAAAAAAACACAAAATCAGACATGAAATAGTTTCTGGACCTTAACTTTTGAGTTTGATTACTTTAACTTATAAAACATCTGAATTACAAAACAAAACTATTTTGACTTATAGAAATATGTGTCTACGAGCATTGTGTCTACGAGAGTTAAGTCAGGTAAAAATAAAAATTAGAGTTACCAAAGTTTGACTTATCAAGAATCTACTGTACTTGTATAAGAGAAATATATATCAATGATTTTATAGATTACAGCAAATACAATTTCTCTTGTAAAAAAATATTTTTTCTGCCAAGTCCTAGAATATTATTGTCTTGTCACAAAAATCCAATATTAAAATTATATTTTGTTGATAAAAGTTATATCCACACATACACTTTACTGTATTTATTATATTACTTACATGATTGTCAGCTGCACTTTCCTTAAAAGCAGCATTAAGGAATGGGCATTGATTATAATTTAACTTTATTAATAAATTAAAATTTTAATTAAGAAGAAAAGAATAAAAATTTAAAATTAGAAATAAATTTCTTACAATTATTACATTGTTTAACAAAAAATAAAATGTTATATAGACATAACTTAATATTTTCAATTTTTATATTACTTTTTAAATATAAAATTCATTATTTATCAGGAATAAAAGTTTATTTGTATTTTAGTATCCACGTTCCTGGTTATTTGTCGCATGATATCAAACAGCTGGAAAATTTATCATCAATGATTAAATCAACAAAAAATTTAACTGAAGAATCAATAAATTGATAGTGGAATTGTACTTTGTGACACAATTCATAATTCTCCAAAATTCTGATCAAAATTCAAAATACACAAATATTATGCTTTATTCAAGTGAATTCTTTAAATATTTGAAACTCAAATGATTCCAAGCTTTTCTGGTTAAAATATTTCAATATTTCTGCCTCTGATGAATCACAAAGGCTCAAAACTGCTTGAATTTTGAATATTTAAAGAATTCACTCTAAAAAATCACAATTTTCTTATACTGTATACTGTGAAATTTATAATATAGTAATCTTAAATTTGCCTATTGTAAAAATGTATATACAGGTCAATCAAAAATAGGTAATGTATACAGTTATTTTTATTCTTTTTATTTTGCAGGTATTGAGAAACAATGGTAGGCAATTTGAGTGAAGAACAAAAAGTGGATTCTGAAGCAGTATTGGAAGATTGAAAAATGCCAAGATGGTGACACAGAACGTGGTAAGAGACATATGACACTAATCCACTGAATAATTTGATAATTTATCATATTAGAAATAAATTTTATGAAACAAATTCAGCAATTAATGCTTCCTCAGATACCTGAGACATGAGAATGTGATGAGAGTTACCCAACGTTCGTGAACAGTCCAAAAAAGTTTAAGCAACATGCACATCAGGAGCTATCCATATCAAGGATATCCTTCCAATGTTTAATGCCTAATTGAAATTAAAGCCAGAGAACATTCAGATTTAATGCATTAACCAGTGAATCCATGCCATCAAATTTATTTCTGATACAATACATTGTCGAATGTTTTAGTTGAGTAGTGTCAAATGTCTCTTTCCATGCTCTGTATCATCTCAGCATTTTCAGTCTTCCAATATTGTTTCAGCATCCGTTTTTTTTGTTCTTCACTCAGATTGTATACCATTGTTTCTCAATACCTGCAAAATAAAAAAAATAAATAAATAAAGAATAAAAAGAATTGTATATCTACTTTCGGCACACCCTTTAAAGTGTAATAAACTGTCTTAAGATATTAATAGTTTTAGAAATAATTTAAAAAAATTGCAAATATATTATTGTGTTAAATTACTGTACTCTCTACTGTAATTTGTTGATAATTATTATTAACAACATGTGATATTTCTAAATCTTTTAACATCTTAAGATAGTTCATTACTTTTATCACCAGTATTACAGCCTGATGTATGTCAATAATATTGTATATATAATGTATTGTGATCAAAAGCTTGTATTAATTAAACTTTTACAAATCAATTTGCTAGAAAATTATCTATCAAATATAAGACTATCTGAATTTTATAAACTTTAATACAAACATAAATGTTGTTGTTTGTATTGTCTATCTTTTATTTCTTATACTCCTGTAATAAATTATTATAAATAAAATGAAATCAATAATGATTGATAGTCAAATGGCTAAAATATTAAAAGGTCATACACTATTTTGATAAACTGAATTCTAAATCCTCAAAAATTTTCATAAATAGTTTTGACTTAAATCTGCCAGACCCCTTCCCTCAACAAGACGACCATACAATTGTGAATCTGGCCAAACCCATGATGGACATGAAAACAAATGTCTTAGCATCTATATAATAGAAAGGATTATATACACATAACATTAATGATTATTACTTGATTAAAAAAATATTACTTTAAAGAATACAAATACATATAATTTAAAAATTTTGAAATGTCTAGAAAATTAACATTAGTATGTAAATAGATGAAATAAATAATAGGAAAATAAATCTAAATCAAAGTGTCATAATATTTGGTATCATATACTGCTGACTCTCAATTCTACAGACCTTGATATAAGATATTTCAGAAACAATATGCCAAATCAATGTGTTTCAAGGTTCCATTCTGTGTGCTTATTGACAAGACTGTCTTGTTTATAAAATTGTACTGACTGCTGTGTTACCAGCTTAGAGGTATGAAGAAGTACATGTTATGAGTTGCAATTTGGCACAGAGTATTAGGTGCCCAAATCATGCGTGCATATAAAAAACCAGACTTGTAGGTAGTCAGGGGACCGAGAACTAAGTCAAAATAAAATACAAAATGGCGACTCTCTCTATAAACAGGCAAACCAAAATCAGGTGGTGAGAGTACCACCCACAGTCGTTCTAGGAAGTGAACTCTGACCCTAGGACTGAAGATGTAGTATTTTCTTTGTTAAATAAAATTTGTAATCTAATTTTGTAAATTTGGGAGTGCTTCAAATATGACATTAAAACAGGGTTTTATGTCATTACAAGTAGGTTTTTAACATTATCTAGTATAGTAAAATAAAATTGTGGGACTGATAATTATTTTTTTCAAAAACAGGAAATTTTCGTGTCACATCAACAAAAATTCAACCAGAGCAGACTTGCAATGGAGAGAAATTTCGAAATTGGATAGGTTAATATCATCGAAAATGTATCATGGACGATCATGAGATCGTCCATGATACATAGTTTGAACAATTGAGCCCAAAAGCAGCAATACCAAAGAAGATTGGAGAATGAGAACGAGACTCGCCTTGAGCATCAAAGTGATTCTACTTAATAGTGAGTCTCTGAGACATAGTCTTGTCCCAAATACAGTTTTGCTGTTTTACTTGTTTTAAGTTATTCTTGTAATAATATGAATGTGTTGAGAATATTGCATAGTATATAATGACTCAAGACCAATTTGGATGGACTATTTAGATGAAATAGCATCTGTAAATAATACCCCGTTTGCACCGAGCATTTCGATCTAGATTGTGACTAAGGTCGGAGACTGTTCCGTGGTGCGAACGCTCTCGACCGTTTCAATCTCAACTGAAACGAGGTTCAATCGCGATCGATTGAAGAGAGTTCTCAAAACTAGATCCAGTCATAAGAGAGATCCCACAATCCCACACACGCGAGAAAATACAAGATGGCTGCGGAACACGTGTCAGGCTATTGACAGAGAAATAAAAAAGACATCTGGAGAGACAACGACATCTGTCTATTATTAGATGTATGGCAAGAAAAAGTATTTATTTCTAACCAAAACTTCCATTTTGTTTGTTGGTGTTCGTGACTTACCGTGTAGTTACGTCAGTTTTATGATTGTGTGTAATAGCCAGGTTCTTCTTGAGCAGACTGCCTGTGCGAACAGCACGACGTTCGACTAGCGACAGTCACAATCCAGATTGTAGGTAAATCGAGATCAAAGTGAGTCGTGGATTGTGTGAGAACATAGTATAAGAGACTCTGACCAAAAATGTGTGGTTTGTTTCATAAACAGTGCACTGCATAGCTATTGTCTAAGATAATGCTTGGAAGCACTGCATTATTATTCATCACTATTTACATTGTTCATATCCCTTATCGTATTTTATATACAGTTTACTATATTTTATAATAAACTATCAGCATTATTGGATTGCTACTCTTCCTATTAGTCCATTAAATTGAGGATCAACAGTAAAATATTTAGATGCATAGCTTTTAATGTGATAAATTATATTTTAAGAAAAATAATTAAAAATTTAGCAGCAGATAAAATAATTAAAACAGCAGATTAAATAATAATATAAATTATCATTACCTTGACTTCTATATCTCCAATTTTATGAGCTGCTCTAATTATAGGCCTTCCAACCATTGAAGGAAATGTAAATGCAGGAAAATTTGATCCAGCATAGCCACATTTAACAAACTGAAATATAATTTAAATTTTATTTAGTTTGTTCAAAATACAAAGTGCTTTACAATAATAACAACATATTTAAAAATATACAAGTTGATATTTAAATCTTTCATCCTTTAATGAAATGGAGTCTATGCACAGTGTATTGTTATAGTCTTTGTGATCCGTACTGTTATGCAGCAACTTGTATGCTGTGGGGTTTTTCCAGAAGCAAAGTTTAGCTTCCAAATACTTAGTTATTTGCTTGTAAATGGATGAGAGTCTATGTCATAATTCACAGTTATTTACCTATTTGATATAGTAGATAAATTTGTGTGGTATTCTCCAGTTGTGGATTGTTCATAAATTGATCTATTCTATGTACCAGGTTCTATATGAGTTTTTTACTGTATCCATGTGCTGTAGCTATTCTTTCTATACTTTTCAGCTCCCGTGTGATGTTTGCGATATCCAAACAGTGGTATATGCTGTTTTCATTACAAAATAGTGGCATTTAGAACTATAATCAGAAGAGTATACACCCACTGCTCAAATATCATGAACACCATAGCAAAGCCCAAACATATATAGAAAGAATAGCTACAACATGAGTACAGTAAAAAACTGATACAGAACCTGGCACATACAATAGAAGACCAATTTATGAACTGTACATGCCTTATGAATACCAACACAAATTTACCCGCTACATCAAATAGGCAAATAATTGTGGATTATGACCATAGACTCTCATCAATTTACAAGCAAATAGCTAAGTATTTAGAAGCTAAACTTTGCTTCTGGAGAAACCCCATGATATACAAATTGCTATATAACATTAAAGATGATATAAACTATTTAAAAAATATAAATTTCTCAACATTTTCAGCATATTTCACTTTTCATCAGACAATTTACAAAGCAATAATTTAGTAAAAATGATAAAATAACATTGACAAAAAATTAAATTTATAACATTAGTAAATAATATCATTCTAACAATATTTTTCTGTTATCATCATCATCAGTCTTATTGCTTAGTAACCTCATTAACAGTTGATTATAATAATATAACTTAAAAAGAATACATTTACACTGTTCAAAATATGATTTATTTCTAATTAAAATCAGCAAATTTACCTTGAATTCTTAATGTAATTAAAAGCTATTTATAAAATTCATAAATTATGCTGACTTAATCTTAAGTAATTATATATTGACTAATCACAAAAATCAAAAATCTTTACAATCCAGCATTTAATTTTTGAAAAAACAAACCATCTCCGTGTTCAAACTGCACCTAATGACAACATTCCAGAACACCAGTGGCCTAGCGAACATAACTGGCACCCGGGGCACGACACTTTATTGGTGACCCCTCCCCCTCCAGAAACACACATAGTTTGGGCGCCTCTGCAAGTGGCACCCGGTGCATGATACACCCCCTTGCACCCCCTCACTATGCTACTGCAGAACACCAATTCAAAATGTTTTTGAACTGATGTTCTGGCAACAAGAAGTGAAGTGTGTCTACAGTAGAAATGAAATCAACAATCTATTCACAAGCGTCAAGTGTCAAAAGTTAACCACAAGCATTTGTGTAGCCTACTTAAAATAAAATAAACAGTAATTAGTTATTTAATGAAGTAAACCACGCATAATATTAACACTTAACATATTCTGTATACACTGAATCAAATCATTTTTAAAATAAAATGTTATGAAAGTATTAAAAAAATATAAATTATCTTAATACTTTAAAAAACAAATTTCTGTCATTTAGTAATTGTCAAACATAAAAAAAAGCAAAGATATCAATTCAATAGTTTGACTTTAATCAATATTTTTTTCCAAGTTTGCTTATATTTATTGCTTTTGTTAGTGATAATTTCCTAGTAAAATACAATTTCTTGTGCTTCCATATCCTACGTAATTATGCTAACAAAGATACTATTCTCTCTCAAATACTTAAACAACTCTCTGATTATAAAATCATTTCCTTGATGTTATTATCTATTACCTCTTTCAAGTTAGAACCAAAATTATGACGTTATAACTGCAGATGATGAAAAAACATCTGATTATACAATGATTTATAAAGTTAACTTATGATATATTTATATTGTTAAATGATTAATATTATTTTACAGTATAAAATAAATGAATTAACTAAGAACATATTTTATCCAGTTTTTTTTAAATCCTGTATTAAAATAGTTCTTAATTTTTTATTAATGATTTAACACATTCTTAAAAATGTTTAGTTTACTTCTTTTTATAAAATTACTTTAATAACTGAGCCATTCAATGGATACAAGTAACAAAGTTTGAGTACCAGTATATTATTGATAAAGTTTAATGATGTTTTAAAAAGTTATGTTATTAAAAGAAACAAGAATAGATATAACCAAACATCTAAATATTGGATATTTTTCTCCTATAAAATAACTGTTATCTTATAGAGAACCACATTATATGAAGCAAAATAAATGTGCTAACTCTGTTTATATTTATTACTGATTAACATCTTTCATTTAAACATATGTGATACTGACTCATATTTCTAAAAGCAAACAAAATTCTTAAAAATTAACAAAATTAATTGCCGAAACATAATTATAATTGCCGAAAAATAACCCAATATTATACAGCGGTTGGTGTGGCTTTATTTCACGTCTGAAATGATATTTAGACAATTTCAAATCATGACCTGTTATAATATCACTTGTAATCAAGTAATGCCATGCCTTGTCATTTGAAATTGTCCAAAAATCACTTCACATATATCATTTGAAAATGGTAAAATAATATTTTTGCTGAGATTCCAGTAAAAATATTTCACCATTGTAAAATCTAATGATCATTTAGTTTAGTAGTAAATTATATAATTTAAAATGTTCTGGAAGAAAAAAATTGATCCAGAGTGAAAATCAAACCTATAATTTCTGCTTACTGTGTGAGTGCATTAGCAATCATGCACCGAGTTCATATTAATTAATAAGTCTGGAAGCAAAGACAAGACAGACATTCAAGTAGTGTAACTGATAACATATCTGTACATAAGTGAAAGTTGAATATTTAGTTTAGAGTACAATGTAAATTGAGTTTGTATTTTATTATATACTAATAACAACATTTTTAATATCCTTAAAGAAAATATTTCTGTTTCTAGAAATCAAACACAAAAATTAGAAAACAATATCATAACTAATGTTTATAAAGTTCTTTACACTGTTTTAAATTAATTCTGGTAAATGCATTTGTAATAATAATGATACATTTTAAACAACAAATGAAAACAATTTCAGATAAACATTCCTACTCATTGTCTTTAATTTTGGCTGAAAATAACCTGCGATCACATTAAACTGATTACAATTAAAATTAAATTTGGAATATTTATAATCTTAATTTAGAAGTTTTCATACTTCATTAAATTCCTAGCATTTGTTACTTCAAATTATTATTCATTTGAAGTAACAAATGCTAGCAATTTAATTTATATGCTGGATAAAGTACAATTACTGGTAATTAATAATACAAATTATAATGAATAAATCTTCAAGCTATATATTTTTTAATTGTTTTAGGCTTTTAACACATCCATTTAATATCAAAGTCAATAAAAGCTGAATTTCCTCTAATTGTAGTTTTATTGACTTATCCTGATTAATGTTATTGGTTGATTATCATCATCAGTATAGGCTAGTCCCAGAGCAATTATTATAAGCAGATTCTGTTGTATTTCATTTAGTAAGAAAATTTTAAACAAATCTTTATTTCAAGTTTTTCAAATTACACAAAGTTATGTAAAATTTATCATCTGTTTTTATTCAGATTATGCATAATTACATATCAACCTTAACAATAGCATGTCTATTTAAGGCCATAAGTGTAGTAGAATTCCAATTTACAATTCTATCTCATTATTGAAAATGTCATAAATCGAAATTTTAAATAAGGTCAAGATCTCCATTATTTCTTATGATTGAAATTTAACCTTATTCCATAACACAATCATCTTATTCATGTTCCCAAAATAACATCAAAGTGTTACAAAATTCCTGTTTATCTATAAATCAATTATTCTAAATGAAATAAAATAAATCAAATGAAAGTGTTGTTCATGTTAGTCATTGATATAAAAGGAACTAATATGAAATGATAGTAGTAAATACAGCATAACAAAAATATTGTAAAATGGTAAAATAGAGTGAATTATGATCACTGATAGCAGGGTTTATAATGTAAATTTCATTAAACTGCACAACTCATCAGAAGGAATATCACTATCTACAGCAAGTAAAGGTACAGTACAATGTAAATAAAAGAAAAACAGAGTTTGAAATTGAAATAAAGAAGTGAATCGTGCCAAATGATCATTATTACGCTACATTGTGCTTATAGAACAAATATGGAAAATACGACACGGTTTCAAAATATGGCAGAAAAATAGAGACCAAATCTATGAGCAATCCAATCTGAACATGCAGGAATGTCTATCTCTTTGCACCAAAGATTAGAATATTTTATTCTTCTAAATATCAGTTGGCACCCAAATCAAATATCTCATCTTATAAATGGCAAAGAAATATTAAAAAAACTAAGTTATATCAAATTCTTGTATATTGAATACTCTTAAATCATTCATTGCAATGTGTTTGTAATTTTTGAAAAATTGTACAAACCAAACATTACTTTTTAATATTAAATTCCTACTAAATAATCAGTAAACATTCTAATAAATAATAAATTTTTAAAACTTAATTTTCTTATTTTCTAGTTATTTTATTTTTGATGACGATAATGCTGGAGTATATATTTGTCCATAATATTATATATAAAAGAACCTGGATTAAGTGGATATTATCAGGATTGGAAGCTATCTGCTTAAGACTGATAGTATCTTTAATTTAAAAAATTGCCTTATATTTATTTATATGGTAAACCTATCTAAAAAGGTACCTGAATACAGCAGAAACTTGCCTGCATGTAAAAAATTCTTCAGATTAACAATTTTCTATATTAAATTCTATTATAAGCCAGAAACCCATCCAATGTGAAAATAGAAGAGGTTTTTGGGTACAACAACAAAGGATAACACAAAAACTTAAAATTCCATTTGTATACAAATAAGTAAAATCACCTCCATGTATAACCATCACTGCAAAGCATGACAAACTATTCCAAAAAATTATTTTGAACCTTTTCAGAAAAATGAAGGTCAGATGACGAGGAAATACAGACACAAGGTTTTTGTTAATATTTGCCTTGCTGGAATTAACCAGGAACAGAATAGAATACTTTTTAAAATTGAATAAGTTCTCAAGAATAAGCAACAAATATAATTACAGTAGAACCTCTATTATCCGGACTAATTGGGGATGAAGGTAGTCCGGATAAGGATAAATCCGGATAATCAAAACAAATACTTTAATTTGTCTTTTAATGATAATGCAACACGTTTTATTTTCTATGGCATATCGGTAATATTAAAAGTAAATACTGTATTTAAATCGTGCAAATCAGCAAATTCGTAAAATTTTTGTTTATTTTGAACAATCCGGATAATCGAAAATCCGGATATTGGAGGTCCGGATAATGGAGGTTCTACTGTATATTACAATAACTAAATTATTTAAGGAACATTTACTTATACCACAGACTGACACAGACATAACAAGCAATACTAAAAACTTGTAACGCTTGCTATGTCTTGAAATCTAATGTTTTTGGATGCCCTCTGGCAAATTCATGACAGAAGTCAAGTTTTGTCTATTAGGTTTAGTGATGTTAAATTTGAAATTAAAATTTTAAACATTTTCAATTTTTTCCTAGTAATTAAAGTTTCAAACTTAAACATAATATCTTCATCTCCAGTACTGCAGGCAATATTAGTACGTACTGTATGTATGTAATACTCTGTTAGTCTATACATAGTAAAAATATAAAGAAATAAAATAACTTGTTTATTTTTTAATTAAAAAAAATTTTTTAAGCTTGCTATTTATGAGCAAGTTTCATAAGCTTAGAGTGTTTTTTAATTTGTTAAAACTAATCAAGTTTTTATTCTGTCGAACTACTACAGCAAAAACTCAAAATAGTAAATAACTTTAACATCCGACATAAAACATTTTTGCACCCTACCCTAAAATCAACGTAATTAAGGAAAATAGACAGGAGATGATCTTGAGACATTGTTCAAGTGTAGTACGTGGTCAATGCTTCATAATGATTACCTTTTTTGCTCATTTGGAAAAGCAAAAGTATTGATTCAGGATTTTTGTTGCTAGACCAGTGGTTCCAGACATATTTTAATCACTAAACCTTTTCATCCTAATAAAAAGCTTTGAAAAAAATCACTGATTATAAATAACACAACAAATCAAAAATATGAAAAGTTTTTATATTTTTGATTTGATACAAAAAAAAAAAAGAATGAAAACAGATTAATAATGAAAAGAATAATTATTATTTCAAATTGGTAATTAACATAAAGGATTAATTTTCATAGATGATTTCATCAGCAGTTGCGATGGGACATTAACTAGTGGCGAGACAATCAAATGCATTTGATTTTTGGCAAAGCGTTATAAAATGCTAAAGAAATCAAACGCTACCATTCCAGACAGCAGTTTCTCCGACACGAGCGAATACTTCGGCATTCAAATACACGATTAGATTTTCTAACCATTACGCTGGACACATTTTACATTTCGAAAACGCAAGCACGCGGCATCCACACGCGTCTCCTTTCCCTACGGAATATTAATTCTCGAAACATTATTCGAATAAATTATTAATCAACATTCAAAAACCCGACGTCACCGCAGAACCAGACATTTTCATCGGCGAAACCCCAGAGTTCCGCAGAACGCCGGAGAGTCGGAAACCGCCGAACCGGCATCCGAGCACCGCGTACCTCCCGCCGTCTACGGAATTACGAGACGACGACTCCGCAAGAGTCAAACGACCTCCGTCGCAATTTTTAGCTTCGCTCGATGCGAGTCTGCAATCGTACCACATTAACATAAATACAGTAGTAGTACTTTCGATCGGCTCGATTATTATTAATAAACGAAACGAACGATTCATAATTTAATTTTGAAAACATTCAAATGATCATCAATTTCACCACAAACAAATATAAATTTTAAATTGAATGATATACAGTAGTAAATATTTTAACATTCAATGGAAACTTAATAAATTCTAATATATTAAATTGAAGAGGCGAAGTTGTTAAATCAATACACTTAATCATATTAAACATCTCTCTTTGCTGAATTTACTTAAGACTGACATATTTTGAGATAAGTTCATATAGATATAAGGAGATGGAATAAACATGGCGTTGCTTTATAAATACTTACTCCCGTTCCATTATCGCATATAATGACTTGCCTTCCTTGTCCGTCCATTATGCCTTCGATCTTTCGTAAAAAATCAAATTTATTAAAAGACCAAGCCTATTCGTGAATCACACATTTCACTCGCAAGCAATGAACCATCTTTTACGACAAAACGCCACGTGGTGTTCGGTAATAGAACTAACAGTCGCGGTTTGGTCTCCATTTTTGTCTATAGATGGTTTCTGTAATATTTCGGAATTTTAACGAAAATTATGGAATAAAACCATTCACCATTAAAAGTTATACTGGAAGCTTTATTATGGCCTGACCAAACCCAAAACGTGAAGAAATTCAAAAAAAAAAAACTATTGTCAGTTTTTAACAATGAAATTATTTTATTTACGGGATATATCGGGAGGAAAATTGGTACGTTGATCTCCCACTCTTCATTGTCGAATCCTCTGTTTTTTTTTTCTTCCTGGCACTTTCTTTTATTACTTTGGGCCCGAGACCAGACGTTTGACTAGTTCGGGCCTAGTAGTGCAGCGAGTAAGAGAAACAAAGCAGAAACAAACTTGCGTGGGAAGAATCGGAGAATGAGTCCGAAAGTGGAAGCGTGTACGTAGTTCGTTTTGCCTCTATTTTAAGAAAGATAAATAATTGAAAGGTAGAAGAACGTTGTCTATTATCTCACAAGTATCCTTTAGGATAACTTCGGGGACGTGCGGTAGACTTTCTCAGTATGATGCGAGTCTTCGAAATGCCGCCCCCTTAAGTTGCCGCCTCTCCGTATCATAGCACGGCGTGGCCCTAGATAACTTACTCTTAACTAAACTAAATAATGATGATAGAATGCCAGTGTTTGAATTTATTACACTACATAGTGTTTAAAATGACACGGTTTAACGCTCTTTCATTTAGCGCTTTGTCTAGCAACTTTGTCGTCTAATATTATCGCTTAGGATGCGTTAACCCATTTTCTGCTGTAAATATGAACCTAAACAGTTGAAATTTTCATGTTTTAAACTCATTCGAAAACTAATTGTTTCTCTTTCTCTAACAGCCCAAATCTGAATTCCATGAACTAAATCTTCTATTGACTTTTAATCCCCTTCTCTGTAAAACAGTTTCTAACTTTTTCTGGCTCAACTTTAATTACTCTCTATCTCATTAACACAATATCAATTACAAATAACATATACCGTAGCTCTTTTCTCACCGCATCCTGCAATGATTCGCCTAATATTAATATTAATAATAATAATAATAATAATATGGGCTTAAACTTGATAAACTTTAAAAATCCATCCTAAACCCCTAAAACTTTTATTTTCAATACTTGATATTCGAGTAAATTTTTCACGAAATTTACAAGACAGAAGACCTTATAAAATTTTATAAATAACGTGACGTCATCGACGACAACAATTAGATTCCAGCTTTATCGGCGATTGTTGCCCAATAGACAATACAAATGCCATTGTTGCTGACCGGAATCCAGACGTCATTTTCGTATCACCGGCAGTTTCTAAGAAAAATACCGAAATTTTTTCTAGTTTTAGAAGAAATAACAGAAGAAAAAGCTGAGAAATTGCAGAATAACAGAGGGAAAAGGGAAAGACAGAAACACCGTATTTTAGTAAAGGAAATAAAACTGAAATGAAATATTTGGAAGTCGACATTAGCCAACTAACAACAAATTACTATGGAAGGAAACCATTTTAAACCAATTCGTATTGCGTGTAAGTCACTTTATTTAATACTAGCAGATGAGCCCGGCATTGCTCGGGCAAAAAGTAACGATAGCAAAGATTAAATTTAGATTATAGCCGATCTTACTCGTTTTCACCGAGTGCAAAAATTAGGTCCCTCCCTCTTCTGAGAGTAATTGGAGAATTTTTAGATAGATGCTTACCACACAGGGATAAAGAAATAAGACTCACTGCAACCACTAACCGGTACTGTACGTACTAAGTGATAAATAATAAACGTTTTTGTAACTCTTTCCGGGTTCTTCTTCGGGTTTAATAAATTCGAAAAGTAAGCTGGATCTTCCAGAATCATTCATAAATATAAATTTGAACATAAAATCGAATATTAAGAGAAGAGTTCGAATAAAGCGAACTCATAAGCACGCGCTCCGTGTCGACTTTATATTAACGATGGAACACTAAATATCGTTGAGAATTTTTAGAAGGGTCTAAAAATATGTTCGATTTTTCGCATAAATGCAAAAAGGACATTTAAAATAGTACAGTAGAAGCCGAGTTCTTCGGGGTAATCCTTAACTCCCTCTGTCTCCCCGCAGTGGGAATTTCGAAAAATCCCTTCTTAGTGTGCATTCTCATGGCAAACCTATTAAAACACAATGAAAAATGCAAAAAACCACATCTAAAATAGTATAATAGAAACCGAGTTCTTCACGCCTTAATCTTGTTCCTCTCTCCTGCGGGGGAGAATTTCGAAAAATCCCTTCTTAGTGTACGTTCTCATGACGTACCCTAACTGTGTACCAAATTTCAACTTTAAATTCCTAACCATTTGGGCTCTGCGCTTATTATTATTATCATTATCAATCCATCTCGATTATATAATAAGTGTTATGTAAATTATTCGAATATTTTCGTGCGTTTTCTTAAGGAAATTTTGTTCCCTTAAGGAAACGCAATATATTAATAGCATAAGAAAATACTTTATGGATAGAGTTTTCTCTTACAGTAGATTTAAACCTCGCCATAACACTTCGACTTATTTCCCACTAACATTACCATCAGTCGTGTTTGTTTAGTTAAGTTACGGCAATACAACACTTGGGCGATCTGCCTAGTGAGGATGTCTTCAGGGAGGTCTTTTTAAGGGTAACTGGCCCTTATTTGGGATTTACAGAAGTGGAGAAAACCCAGAAAACTGCACGTGGTCAGCCCGTCCTGGCCAGGAGCGAATCCACGATCGAATTCCCAGTATTTGGGAAACATCTTTTGATAGTATAAATTGAAGAGGAGGAAACATCTGAAGTAGTAGGCTAAATACAGCCACTAGAAACAATTGACAAACTCCGTTAAGATACGACGAAAATGTTTTATTTACTTACGTAACGCAGGTATGTACTGTATTTGCGATTGTATAATATTAATGAAATACCGTACAGTGTAAAAACCACTAAATCTCGAAACCCATTTATCTAAATTCACATTCCTTTCTCGTGACATTCCATATACACAGGTTCAACTGTATGTAGTTTTTCAAATTCGAACATTAGCTGAAGTTCTATCGACGAACCACAAATTATATATTTTAAATTATAAAAACAGTGCATACGGAGAAGGATTTTTAAATCTGCTTCAACAGCAGTGACTAAACAACATCGTATCTGTATAATTAACTATAATCGCACTGTTCGACAAGTTATTAAAACGTATGTGTGACAATTTTTAATATAGTACTGAAGAGGAGCTTAGCATTTATATAAGTCCGAAATGCATACGTGGAATAAAATAAAAGAAGTCTCTAACCTGAAACCTCTAATGATAGTCTACCGAACTTAAATTCATAAGTTATTTAAAGTTAATACTGTAGATGTAAACGTACTCTTCTGCCAGATTTCCTTTAAAAATAATAATAATATTTAAAAGTACTGTATCAAAAGTATTTTAAAGCTCGATTAAGTTCAACGAGCGCAGCCATCTTTGTAAACCGGAAAATAAACTTTACGAGAGAACTGTAGCGTGAGGCGAAGAAAGACACAAACGCGGGTCGAAGACGGCCGTCTTCACCCGCAAAATAAAGCCCGCGTAGGGCGAAGACAAGAAGACACAAACGCGGGTCGAAGACGGCCGACTTCACCCGCAAAATAAAGCCCGCGTAGGGCGAAGACAAGAAGACACAAACGCGGGTCGAAGACGGCCGACTTCACCCGCAAAATAAAGCCCGCGTAGGGCGAAGACAAGAAGACACAAACGCGGGTCGAAGACGGCCGACTTCACCCGCAAAATAAAGCCCGCGTAGGGCGAAGACAAGAAGACACAAACGCGGGTCGAAGACGGCCGACTTCACCCGCAAAATAAAGCCCGCGTAGGGCGAAGACAAGAAGACACAAACGCGGGTCGAAGACGGCCGACTTCACCCGCAAAATAAAGCCCGCGTAGGGCGAAGACAAGAAGACACAAACGCGGGTCGAAGACGGCCGACTTCACCCGCAAAATAAAGCCCGCGTAGGGCGAAGACAAGAAGACACAAACGCGGGTCGAAGACGGCCGACTTCACCCGCAAAATAAAGCCCGCGTAGGGCGAAGACAAGAAGACACAAACGCGGGTCGAAGACGGCCGACTTCACCCGCAAAATAAAGCCCGCGTAGGGCGAAGACAAGAAGACACAAACGCGGGTCGAAGACGGCCGACTTCACCCGCAAAATAAAGCCCGCGTAGGGCGAAGACAAGAAGACACAAACGCGGGTCGAAGACGGCCGACTTCACCCGCAAAATAAAGCCCGCGTAGGGCGAAGACAAGAAGACACAAACGCGGGTCGAAGACGGCCGACTTCACCAGCAAAATAAAGCCCGCGTAGGGCGAAGACAAGAAGACACAAACGCGGGTGGAAGACGGCCGACTTCACCCGCAAAATAAAGCCCGCGTAGGGCGAAGAAAGAAGACAAAAACGCGGGTGGAAGACGGCCGACTTCACCCGCAAAATAAAGCCCGCGTAGGGCGAAGA